GTCTCAAAAAAAAAAAAAATAATAATAATGATAATAATAATAATAAATAAATAAATAAATAAATAAAAACACCTACAACTAAGGCTGAGTGCTGTGGCTCATGCCTGTAATTCCAGCGCTTTGGGAGGCTGAGGCCAGTGGATCGCCTGAGGTCAGGAGTTCAAGACCAGCCTGGACTACATGGTGAAACCCTGTCTCTACTAAAAATACAAAAATTAGCTGGGCACAGTGGCGCATGCCTGTAATCCCAGTTACTCGGGACGCTGAGGCAGGAGAATGGCTTGAGCCTGGGAGGTGGAGGTTGCAGTGAACGGAGATTGTGGCACTGCGCTCCAGCCTGGGTGACAGAGTTAGACTCTGTCTCAAAAACAAATAAACACAAAAACAAAAACAAACCCATCTACGACTCAACAACAAAAAATGAACAATTAAAAAATGAGTAAATGGGGCCCAGCACGGTGGCTCATGCCTGTAATCCCAGCACTTTGGGAGGCCAAGGCAGGCAGATCACCTGAGGTCAGTAGTTCAAGACCAGCCTGGCCAACATGGCAAAACCCCGACTGTACTAAAAATACAAAAATTAGCTAGGTGTGGTGGTGGGCACCTGTAATCCCAGCTACTCAGAAGACTGAGGCAGGGAGAATCGCTTGAACCTGGGAGGCAGAGGTTGCAGTGAGCTGAGATCACACCATTGCACTTCCAGCCTGGGTGACAGAGCAATACTCTGTCTCAAAAAGGATATATGTATATACATGTACACAGAATTGCTGTATAATTCAGTATATTCACTTGTGGGTATATATCCAAAAAGAAATGAAAGCAGGGACCTGAACAGATATGTGTGCACCCGTGTCCACAGCAGCATTGCTCATAATAGTCAAAAGGTGAAAGCAATCCAAATGTCTACCAATGGATGAATAGACAAAATGTGATACATGCAAACAATGGAATATTCAGCCTTAAAAAAGAAGGGAATTTTAACACATTACAACATGAATGAACCTTGAAGATAGTATGTTAAATTAAATAAGCCAGTCACAAAATAACAAATATTTTAGAATTCCACTTATATGAGGTTTCTAGTTTAGTTAATTTCATAGAGACAAGAAGTATAATGGTGGTTGCTAGGGACTAGAGAAGTAGTAAAGGAGGATTAAGTATTTAATGGGTACAAAGTTTCAGTTGGAAAGAGGAAAAAGCTCTGGAAATGGATGGTGATGATGGTTGCACAACAGTGTAAATGTATTTAATGGCACAGAACTGTATACTTAAACATGGTTACAAGGGTAAATTTTTTGTTTTGTTTTTGAGACATAGTCTAGCTCTGTCACCCAGCCTGGAGTGCAAAGGTGCCATCTCAGCTCACTGCAACCTCTGCCTTCTGGGTTCAAGCGATTCTCCTGTCTCAGCCTCCTGAGTAGCTGGGATTACTGGCGCATGCCACCACACCTAACTAATTTTCTGTATTTTAGTAGATACAGGGTTTCACCCCGTTGCCCAGACTGGTCTCGAACTCCTGAGCTCAGGCAATCCACCACCTCAGCCTCCCAAAGTACTATGATTACAGGTGTGAGCCACCGCGCCTAGCCTAGATTTTGTTATACATATTTGCTACAGTAAAAAAAGACCCAGTGAGGCAAATAACTTTCCCATTTTATAGATGAAAAATTTAAGGCCTGTGTACATGACTTTACACAGCTAGTAACTAGAAATATCAAAATCTAAAACTTTTAACACCAGTGTTTTAACACCAATGTTCTTTGTTCTTTCTACTATACCGGTGCTATGTATTTATTTATTTTATTTATTTACTTTTTGAGATGGAGTCTCGATCTGTTGCCCAGGCTGGAGTGCAGTGGCTCGATCTCAGCTCACTGCAACCTCTGCCTCCCGGGTTCAAGTGATTCTCCTGCCTCAGCCTCCCAAGTAGCTGAGACTACTGGCGCATGCCACCACACTCAGCTAATTTTTTGTATTTTTAGTAGAGATGGGGTTTCACTGTGTCCTAGCCAGGATAGTCTCAATCTCCTGACCTCATGATCTGCCCACCTTGGCCTCCCAAAGTGCTGGGATTACAGGCATGAACCACCGTGCCTGGCCACAGTGGGTTTTTTTTTTTTTTTTTTTTAAAGTAAAATTGTAGATACAGCAAATGCATAGATCTAAAGTGTACAGTTTAAAGAGCTTTGATAAATCAATATACCAGTGTCACCACCAACTCACTAAGATTTTAAAAGATATTTCCAGCTGGGCGAGGTGGCTCACGCCTGTAATCCTAGCACTCTGGGAGGCTGAGGTGGGTGGATAACCTGAGGTCAGGAGTTCAAAACCAGCCTGGCCAACATGGTAAAACCTCATCTTTAAAAAAAAAAAAAAAGATATTCCATGAACCCAAAGAGCACCCTCATATTCTCTTCCACTTGATGTCCATCCCCTATTGACAACCATTGTCCTGATTTCTATCACCATAGATGAGTTTCATCCATTCTTCAACTTCATACAAAAAGAATCATTCCACACCTGGCAAGAGGCAGAGAACAATACGGTGGATGGCAAGGAGCCGGAGAATAAAAGAAGGAGAATAGAGAAGCTGCTGGCTGAGAAAATGACTGTTGATGGTGGGTGTGGGGACACTGGAGACTGGGAAGGTCGCTGGAACCGTGTAAAGAAGTTCCTTGAGTGATCTGGACCCTTCACACATCCCGATTTCGAACTGAGCACTGCATCTCTCCAGTTCTTGTTAGATACATGTAAAGTTCTAGTCTTTGGAGCTGGCGGCTTAGGATGTGAGCTCCTAAAAAATCTGGCCTTGTCTGGTTTTAGACAGATTCATATTATAGATATGGACACTATAGATGTTTCTAATCTAAATAGGTAGTTTTTATTTAGGCCTAAAGATGTTAGAAGACCTAAGGCTGAAGTTGCTGCAGAATTTCTAAATGACAGAGTTCCTAATTGCAATGTAATTCCACATTTCAACAAGATTCAAGATTATAATGACACTTTCTATCAACAATTTCATATTATTGTCTGTGGATTGGACTCTGTCATAGCCAGAAGATGGATAAATGGCATGCTGATATCTTTTCTAAGTTATGAAGATGGTGTCTTAGATCCAAGCTCCATTATCGCTTTGATAGATGGGGAGACAGAAGGTTTTGAAGGAAATGCCTGGGTGATTCTGCCTGAAATGACTGCTTGTAACAAATGCACTGGAACTTTATCCATCACAGGTTAATTTTCCCATGTGCACCACTGCATCTATGCCCAGGCAACCAGAACACTCTATTGAGTATGTAAGGATGTTGCAGTGGCCTAAGGAGCAGCCGTTTGGAGAAGGGGTTCCATTAGATGGAGATGATCCTGAACATATACAATGGATTTTCCAAAAATCCCTAGAGAGAGCATCACAATATAATATTAGCGACGTTACATATAGACTCACTCAAGGGGTAGTAAAAAGAATCATCCCTGCAGTAGCTTCCACAAATGCAGTCATTGCAGCTGTGTGTGCCATTGAGGTTTTTAAAATAGCCACAAGTGCATTCATTCCCTTGAATAATTACTTGGTATTCAATGATGTAGATGGGCTGTATACATACACATTTGAAACAGAGAGAAAGGAAAGCTGCCCAGCCTGTAGCCAGCTTCCTCAAAATATTCAGTTTTCTCCATCAGCTAAATTACAGGAGATTTTGGATTATCTAACCAATAGTGCTTCTCTGCAAATGAAATCTCCAGCCATCACAGCCACCCTAGAGGGAAAAAAATAGAACACTTTACTTCTAGTCGGTAACCTCTACTGAAGAAGGAACAAGGCCAAATCTCTCCAAAACATTGAAAGAATTGGGGCTTGTTGATGGACAAGAACTGGCGGTTGCTGATGTAACCACACCGCAGACTGTATTATTCAAACTTCATCTTACTTCTTAAGGAAAATGTGCACATAATAGAAACCTCATGGAAATAATATACTTTGTGGATGCTAAGAAGTTTAATTGATGTCATTTTCAGCAATAGTGTTGCTGAGATTTGACTTTTTTTAATATATGTAATGAACCACTCTTTTTTAACTTTGTAACTTTTCCTTGGAGACAGAATTTTGGTGTTGGTGCTGGTAAGCATTTTCATTAATAATATGGAAAATGATACCTAGAGAGAGAGATTATGAGGAAATGTATTGCTTCTTTTAGAGGTGGAAGCACACACCCTCTTTTGTGTGAATTTTGTTATTATGGTCAAAGAATGCATTGCTAGTTTTCATTTGAGCACCCAGATACACAAAAGATGTCCCTTTAAATAAAATAAAGAATTAAGTTTTAAATAATATTAAACATTACAATTTGACATCTGGAGTATATTGAACATAGGCTATTCCTTGATTTAATATTCATATAATTGTGGCCATCCAAATGAATATTAATTATTGCAGAATTTATCTTGTCCATAATAGTTTATAAACAGTGTTATAGCTGAATACCTGTGCATGAAAATGGGCAATATTTTCATCTGTTTACTTGTAGTGCCATAGAGGCCAATATGCACAATATTAACACCAAGACATGGCTGTTTAAAAAATTTAATATTCAGTTATCACTGATGCTTTTACACTATTTATTAATAAAATCATATATTGTATAAAAAAAGAATAATTCAGAATGGACTGTTTTCTGTCTGACTCTTGGCTCAGCAAAATGTTTTTGATATTCATCCACATTGTTGCTTGGATCAGTAATTCATTTTTTGATTACTGAATAACATTCTATTTTGTAACTCTCCACAATTTGCTTATTCTTTCTCGAATTAATGGATATTTGGGTTGTTTCCAGTTGTTGGCTATTATGAATAAAGTGGCTATGAACATTTTTGCACGAGTCTTTGTAGGAATACATTTTCATTTCCCTTCTCTCGTGACTTGCTTCAGCCAGTGGGACAGTAGCAAACTTGATGCAAGCAGTTTTGAAAAACTACCCAAGTGTTTTCTCTTCCTCTCTTTAAACCTTGCCACTATCATGAGAACAAACACAGACTAGCCTGCTGGAAGATGAGAGATCATGTGGAATGGAGCCAAGTCATCCCAGCTGAGGCCATCCTAGACTAGCCAACTCTCACACAACCCGGTAGCTGCTTGCAGATTCATTACAAAGTCCAGGTGAGAGTAGCCTAGCCCAGCTCAGATCAACAGAATTATTCAGGTAACCCATGAAGTCATGACAAATAACAAATGGTGAATCCTTTAAGCCACTGGGTTTTGGGATGGTTTGTTATACAGCATTGTTGTGGCAATAGATAATTTATAAACACATGTATCTTCCGTTTTTTGGTTTGGTTTGGTTTGGTTTTTTTTGAGACAGAGTCTCATTCTGTAACCCAGGCTGGAGCGCAGTGGTGCCATCTTGGCTCACTGCAACCTCCACCTCCTGGGTTCAAGCAATTCTCCTGCCTCAGCCTCCTGAGTAGAGTAGCTGAGATTACAGGCACATGCCACTATGCCCAGCTATTTTTTGTATTTTCAGTAGAGATGGGATTTCACCATGTTGGCCAGGCTGGTCTTAAACTTATGACCTCAAATGATCTGCCTGCATCGGTCTCTCAAAGTGCTAGGATTACAGGCATGAGTCACCGTGTCTGGCCACATGTATGTATCTATACTTGCATAACAAATTACCAGAAACTTGGTGGATTAAAATAACACAAAATGTATTATCTCATAGCTTCTGGGAGTCAGAAATCCAGGCCTGGATTAGGTGGGTCCTCTGCTCCAGGCTTACCAGGCTGAAATCAAGATATCAGCCAGGGCTGTGATCTCATCTTAGGTTTGGGGTCCTCTTCCAAGTTCGCTAGTTATTGATAGAATTTAGTTTGTTGCAGTTGTAAGACTGAACACCTCAGCACTTAGCAGACACACACTGTTCCATATGGCCCTCTCTACAATGCGGCAGTTTGTTTTATTTTATTTTTGAAATGGAGTCTTGCTCTGTTGCCCAGGCTGGAGTGCAGTGGTGCCATCTTGGCTCACTGCAACCTCTGCCCCCTGGGTTCAAACAATTCTCCCACCTCAGCCTCCCTAGAGTATGACAATTTGTTTCTTTGAGGCCAACAGGTGAGCATTTCTGGCACTTGTAATTTTTGTGACTTCTGTCTGACTCTGATAGCTAGACTCCTCTTTTAAAGAGTCAGCTGATTAGTCAAAAGGCATGACCTACCCAGGATAATCTTCCTTTTGATTAAGCTAAAGCCAACTGGTTAGGGTCCATATCATACGTCCAAAATCCCCCCACCTTTCCCATAAGAGATAAACTAATCACAAAAACATATCCCATAATAATTACAGGTCTCACCCATATTTATGGAGAGGAGACTTTACAGGATGTATGCACCAAAAGATGGAAATCTTGGGGGTCATCTTACAATTCTGCCTACCTCAATGTTCGAAACCAAGATACACAAACAATTTTTAAAGAGAAAGAAATATATTTATTGTGCCAGGCACAGTGGCTCATGGCTGTAATCCAAGCACTATTTCTTTTTTTCTATATCTTTTTTAGTGACAGGGTCTTGCTCTGTCACCCAGGCTAGAGTGTAGTGGACTTCAAGATCAAATTCATTATCAAGACCAGTTAATTCTGCCTTGCAATGTCCTTCACACCTGTTTCCAGCAGTTCTTTCACTGCATCTACCATTGCTAAAACCCTCATCAACGGTGGTTGAAACTATTTGTGTCTTAATTATTTAAGTTAAAACATTTCATAATAATATATATACCTGATGTGAAATTTTTAAGAGATACAAAAGGTTACAGTGAAAGGTAAGTCTCCCATTACTGTCTCCCAGCAATCTAGTTCTCCTCTCCACAGGCACCCACTGTTACAAGTTGCTTGTAATCTTACCAGAAGCTACACATCTAACACACACACACACACACACACACACACACACACAATTTTTCATAGATGATAACATATAATGCATATTGTTTTCAACCTTGTTTTTTTCACTAATAATATATATATTTATTTATTTTATTATTATTATTTTTTGTAGAGACGGGGTTTTGCCATGTTGGGCAGGCTGATCTCGAACTCCTGGCCTCAGGCGATCCACCCACCTCAGCCTCTCAAAGTGCTGGGATTACAGGTGAGAGCCACCATGCCCAGCCTGCTAATAATATATCTGTATATTTTTGGAGACAAGGTCTTGCTCTGTTGCCCAAGCTGGAATGCAGTGGTGTGATCATGACGCACAACAGCCTCAACCTCCCAAGATCAAGCAATCCTTCCACCTCAGCCTTCCAAGTAGCTAGGACCACAAGCATGCACTACCACACCTGGCTGTTTTTTAGAGAAACTGGGTCTCACTATGTTGCCCAGGTTGGTCTGAAACTGCGGGGCTGTAGCTATCCTCCTACCTCAGGCTCTCAAAGTGCTGGAATTACAGTCATGAACCACATACCTGGCCTCAGTAACAATATTTTTTGAAGATAATTCTATATTAGTATGGCTTCCTACTATACCATTTATGCATTATCATTGCTTATTTAACTATCCTCTGTAGACCCTTAGAATGGCTCTTTTTTTTTTGCAACCGACCTTCATATATATGTGTGTGTGTGTGTATATATATATATATATTTATATATATGTAATTCTCAACAAATGTACACATATTTGTGGTATAAATTTATAAAAATGGAATTTCTGATTCAACATACACATTTTAACTATGAATAGATACTAATGTTTTGTAAAGGTATCTGCATATACCAGCTATGCATTAAAGTGACTGTTTCTCTGCACCTTCACTGACAAAATTTATTACCAGACTTCTTGAGTGTTGCCAATCATCAATTAGGTGAAAAATGGTTCTTCTTGTAGTTTTGAATATTCTTTTTATTTTTATTTATTTTTTATTTTTATTTTATTTTTTTTGAGACGGAGTTTCGCTCTCGTTACCCAGGCTGGAGTGCAATGG